TTCATCAAATAACAGTAACTCCTTGAATATCGGAAATATCAGTTAGAATATTTGTTAGAAGCGAAGGCCCGAACAAGCTTAGTATAATATATATTAATTCTAACGCTGTAACAGCTATAGGCCATCGTGCCACTCAAAACGGTGTGCCAGTGTCGATCATAGCTGTGGCAAAGACAATTGTGACAGTGAGTTGTGTGGTAAATTTCCTATTTTTGTTAACATCTATCATGCGTTGAGAGCATGGATTCTAAAAGTTGAAATAAAGTGTTTTCTATATTTTTAAATATTTGTGGCATGTCATAAATATCGCCACGCCACTCGGTGCCCGATTTTAAATTTGGTTGGCTGACGTTCAAATGTGGGCAATTACTTGGATCGGATGAAACACTTCGATGGCCTGCGGGACATAATTGGCCCACCTTGTATCAATCAAAGGCGAACAATATTTTTGTAGGAAATCTACCTTGTGTGAGAATTTGAAGCGAGAAATTACCCCGATTCCCACTATATCACTTTATAGCAGCGGTTATTTAAACCCCAAACACCCATTAGGGTTTATTTATTGAAAAAGAAATATCAAATTATTTCATTATATTTATTTAAGGTTTGCGGCTGCCTTTTTAATTGGTAACTGGCTGTTTGTGTGTCTGATTTGTGCAGAGATATCCCCACACCACTCCCATTTATTGGGGTGAACAGTCCCTAAATGTTTAAACCACCTGGCAAGTGTTGGGTCATATTTGCCGCAAAATATAATTTTAATTCCAATTATGTTAGGTTTATAGTATTTTGACTTCCGATTACCCCTTCATTTACCCTGCTATAAAAGTGGTCGCCCATAACATTTCACGGTCGTAAAAAGTGGTAACGGGATAAAATGGACCCGATATTTCCACACGAGGTGGACTTTTTCTCAAAAATGTTGTTCAAAACAAGATGGCGGCGCCTGCTTGATTTCGTTACAAAGCCAAAATTCTCGAAGTGTGTGATTTGCCTGATTCAACAGTGAGTAACCGACATATAAACTATTTTTAATTTATTTCAATCAAAAAATTCAAACGATCAGTGCACGATTTACGTCAATTAAACCATTAGAACGCGGGAAACGATCGTTATAAAGTTTTGCCGTTCTGAACTGGCATAACCCTGGCATCCGATTTTTCACATTCTAACCATGCGAATGAAAAAGCAATTGCAAAAATAACCAGCAATCCATCTCGCTTTCGTCTGCTGTTATCAGAATTTATAGCAAAAATTCCCAGCATTTATTCTCTAATTTACCTCATCGCGACATTGAAAAAAAAATTACCTCCCCTCCCCCCTGTGGGCGACAAAAAAGTCTTAGGAAAAAGGAATTTCAACTTAGCATTGTGCAGATGTCTAAATTGATTGCGTTGAGTTTCCATAACTACAGTTATCTCTCGCAGCAATGCTAATTCCTTCTTTATGACGCGATAACCTGGTGGTTAAAGCGTAGTTTCACATCTCTGGTTCAAATTCCATGTCTACCTCCTAACCCAGCGTGTGATACATTGATGAGGCAATGCCGAGCCGAAAAAATTCCATTATTTCCAAATAATTGTAGCCGCTTACATGCCGTTAAATATCAGTGGCTTCTCATACAAAGCGAACTGCGTAAATAAGTGCCCTATATATAAAACTAGTAAACAGACGGTAAAATGATTGTTTTATGAGATTTAGAAGGAAGTTTTGAGTCATTTTATCGTCATTGAAAGTCTGTGATTCCGATTCTTGTAGTTACAAATCACGTGATAAAAGGCAAACCTTGCAAATTTTCAATGTGACAACATCCAAGGTGTTTTATGTCCCATAAAATCGCGATATTTCAAACGCATTTCTACGTGTGATATATCAATTTTTGGAAAACATAGAAAAGGCCCCGAGTAAAATTATTATCAGAATGTCTTACTGATATATTTAGTGCTAAATTTGCGTTTGCGCTGTTTGAACAGAAAGTAATGATTGACTTAAACTTCCGCGATTTTTTTTTAACGATAATGATCTCGTATAATCACGGAATGTGTTTTGGAATGCGTTACTTTAAAATCATGGTTGTTACTCATAAACGATGCAGCGGAAACTTAGTTAAAACGATAGCGGGAATTGCACTACATGTTAATAATATTGTATAATATTCAGTAATAATATTGTATAATATCACAGGCCTTTTTCACCAATTTTTCGTACACTTAAAAAAAGTTTGTTTTCCCATTGCGCTAGAAATTCAAATTTTCAAATCCTTTCGAACCCGATAATTACTAATTTGGTATTTTAAAACGTGGCCGGAGTGTTTTTCTCAAATCTCACATTTTTGCATTAGTGACGGGGGCTTTGCATAAATGATCCATAAAATCGTTGTTCATAGTATTGTGTACAAAAAACTGGTTGTCCGTGTTGCTTGTCTTAAACTTAGCTAACATGAGAAAGCATTTTTCCGATGTTTTCAGCCGGGAGACGTTGATAAAACCCCAAATGGGTTGCACACGAAGATCCCATGGTTTGATCAACACTAGAATTAGCGCAGGTTCCATCTCGACCGTATAATTTATCTTGGCCGGTGATACAAATATACGATGTTCAAAATCCTATATTCGACCATTGAAATCTTATATTCGACATCCGAAATCCTACGCTAACGTTTATATAATAGAACAATGTAACAATCGGGATTATTATGACGTAATTTTTCATCGATATTTTCTACGTAAATTCATATCCAGAAAAAACTATAGTCAAAATTTGATTTATCGCCATTAAAAGACTGAGATTCCGACTCTTGGAGTTACAAATCACGTGATAAAGCCGTAAACCTTGCAAATCTTCAAGGGGCAAAATCCAGATTGTTTTATGTCCACGAAACGCGGTATTTTAATGCAATTCTACGTGTAATCAGTTTTTGGAAAATATAGCAAAGGCTTCGAGTAAAATTATAATCGGAATGTCTTACTGATACTGTATATTTAGTGTTAAATTTGCGTTGCGTTGTTTGACCAGAAGATAAATGATAGATTTAGCTTCCCCATTTTTTTTCAAATGATAGTGATCTCGTATAATCCCGAATGTGTTTTGGGAATGCGTTACTTTGAAATCATGGTGTTACTCATGAACGATGCTCAATACAATCATTTGAAATCCAATCTAAATTATTTATCCTAGTTTAACTGTGGCACAAACATAAGTTTACGCACTAACACATGGCCATGAAATGTTGTGGTCAACATGACTTGACTCATATCGCTTGCCCATCTATGAAATCAAGGCACGTATAGTCGATTAATGACAAGGGGGGACTAGGGCTTTTCTATACATAAGGCACACTGGTATAGAAGGTTTAGCCCTTACTGATACTGGTTTTGAGTGTAGTGTTACCTGACCCATACATTTGTGGGACTGTCTTATTAAGCGCACGATCAATCGTAAGATAAAAAAAAACGATTTAAAGTGCGCCTTAGGGTCCGCAAAATATGGCACACTGATGTGCTTGAATCAGCCAAAATTTCAAAAATTGCTCTGATGAATAAACGAGATAGCAATCGGAGACCGCCGACTTATTGATCTTCCGCAAAATAAAAAATTATTTAATTAATTGATACCTCGCTTATTATAAGAAAAAAAAATTGAAAAAAAATTTATAATCAATAATTCGCTGATTATAGGACTCAATTCAAAATCAATAAGTTTTTGGTCCGACATATGATGGATACACATGCAAAATTTGGGGCAGATTCAACCTCGCCTTCGTGAGATATCGCCCGATCAAGATCGATAAGTAATAAAAAGTATTAATATCTTTGCCTCCTATTTCAAAGACCGAGCAGGTATAGAAAGATGCTTTGTTGCTTCACACAGCTGCCTACTTTATTACGAAGTCAACTTGAGTAAAAGTTATGACCGAAGAACAAGAATGATGTCATTTTTCCCTTTCATTAGCTTTTACCTTACGAGCCTTGCGTGTAGCGAATCCAAGGGTTTTTAAATCTCTATTTGATAACGACTGGAATTTGGCGACGCTGAGGTCATATGTGGCTATTCCTTGTTCTGCCCTTCTGAATCGGGGGAACCAAGTATTCGTCTTCCGAAATCCTATATTCGACGTGCAAAATCTATTCGACATCTGCAATCCTGTATTTGACGTCCAAAATTCTATATTCAACGTCTGAAATCCTATATTCGACATCTGCAATCCTATATTCGACGTCCAAAATTCTATATTCGACGTCCAAAATCCCATATTCGACATTCGCAATCCTATATTCGACGTGCAAAATCCTATATTCGACGTCCGAAATCCTAGATTCGACGTCCAAAATTCTATATTCGACGTCCGCAATTTTATATTCGACGTCCAAATTCCAATATCGACGTGCAAAATCCCATATTCCTCGTCCAATATTCTTTATTCCTCGTCCAAAATCCTATATTCTATGTCTAAAATCTTATATTCGGCGTCCGAAAGTTCGATATTTGACGCCTGAATTCCATATTCGACGTCCAAAATGCTATATTCAACTTCCGCAATCTAATATTCGACGTACGCAAACCAATATTCGACGTCCGAAATAATATTCGACGTATGAAATCCTGTGTCGGTCGGTGGGCCGCTGAAGTGTTATTGCTAGTAGTGGAAATTTCAAGAACAGACGCATCAGACTTTTGACACCGACAATTATTTAAGCAAGGCTATCAATCACCACGATCTTGGTGACGATGTTTAAATTGCGCTAAGAAAATTGGGCCGTGCATTAAAAATATTAGGAAAGCGAAATTTCATGTTTGTTGATCCCACTGTTTCTAAGAAATTGTGTACAAAGCCCGCGCCAAAAAATCATTTGCTTCCGCTCAAGATAAAAAAAAATTATTATTTCTTCAGTTAGAGTGAGGGCGAGGAGTGCAGATTGCCTTGGAAATTCAAATTTTTAAATCAGTACAAACCCTTAATTCCTAATTAATATATACATTTATATCTACCCAGCCACTGGGCCAGCGACGTCCGTTTCGGCAAGGGCCCTGCAATACTTAAAGCCGGCAAGACGAGTATGACCTGTATTTTCATAGAATAAAATTAATGGTGGCGGTTATTATGCTATATCGCGCAAAATGTACCAGAATTCCACCAAATAGGACGAGCGTGGTAGTGACGTCGTCTTTTCATAAAGATAGAAAGAGCAACCCAAACTAAACTCTCTTTTTGTGACGCAACACGTTTCCTGACATTTGAAAGAGAGAAAACAATTTCTTTTCCCGCTCTAGAGTGGTGAGTAAGCTTGCATAGAATATATTCCGATGCGAATAGATTGAAGCTTCATTCTGACCTTTGCTGTTAGGAAATCTACTTTCATCGAAGCAAAGTTGACAACATTTTTGGATTCGAAATGAAGATTCCGACTCGACACAGTTTCATCGTACTAATACTGTTGATGGAGGCTTGTTTATTGATCAAAGGTCAGTATAATATATATAATATGCTTGCTTGCCCGAGGTTTGTTTTAGGGGCCCGCTGTAACTGACACGGGCAAAGTACGGCCCGATGGCCTATTCAATTCCGTTACGTTATTCAATCTGGCCCGCCTGATGCTACCACGTCCAAACTGTAACCAAATTTGAATGTTTTAGCTGAAAAATAACTCAAGAAATTGGCTGAGATTGTGATTGAATTTAGTTTTTGCACGAGGCTTTTTGTTTTCCACTTTTGCTTTTTTTTTTTTATAACACTGTAAATATTTTTCATGAAATTCAATTTATTACGTTACCCTTACATGGCCCGCCATTTTAGGTGGGCAAAATTTTTAACCTCTGGTCACAAAACCTCCCCACCACTGCGCCATAGAATAATTAATTTTTTTTGGATATTTGATACTCAGTTGGTAATTCTTGCATCAAATAAAACTTTTGCCTCAGTAAATCAGGCAAGATAATTGAGCTGCCCTAATTGAAGCTGCACATTCAATAATTTTGAATGAATAATATTTTGGAATATTTTGTGTTAAAATTCTCATCGTGTTAGAATTGACTGTTTTTCGCCGCTCCAGAAGTTTGTGTTATGGAGGTGACTAATTTTTTTCGACTATTTTACACCAAGGTGTGTAAAGGGACTGAAGCCTATGGGCAGGGGTATATTCACTCAGCCAACACAGACAGACCCCAAACTCGTAATAAACTTAAAAAAAGGAAAATCAGAATAAAATTATGGCCTACCCCTTGGTACACATACTTCGAAAATACCGTTTTCATTTGTTTGGCTTATATTAATTGCTGATTTCATAAAAGCAAAGAATGAAATAAATAATAAAAACTTCTCCATCGATTTTCAAATATGAAAATAAGTGGTTTGTAGAGAAGATTAGGTATTTAAAATTTATACAAAGACTTCAAAAATCAGATCATTGATTTTCAAACGGCATGAACGCTTTATGTTCTTCTAAGTATAGAATCCAGAAATCTAATAATATCCGTTCTTAGTGTAACAGTGTATTGGTGGCATTATTTTATAAATTCAAATATTTTTTACGAACCACCCCGAAAAAAATTGTGCAAAAAGAAGACGTAAAAGACACTTTATCTGTCGAATTCAACAAATTTTAACATCCTTCAAATGTATTTGTAAATTGGCGATTTAGTTAATATAGGCGACACGCTGTAACTGTGAAATGAAACAGGTTAATTGATATATTTTCTCGCTTCACTGCTGGAATATCTGTATCAGGAGGATTATTTATTTATTCCGGCCTAGGGGAAGCCGGTATGACGGTGTAATAATATGGCAAACCTCGGTCTCTCGATGAAGGTTAAACCGACATTTGAATGTGAAAAATAATGATATTACCGATATTGATGATCGATGAATAATAATTACCAATGATATTAATCAAATAAATTCTCGCCCCAAATATTTACCGTTTTGAAAATTAAGAATAATGAATTTATATAAATTCAAAATTCGTACTCTGGTGTCATGTCGTTTTATTACGGCCGGAGTTTCCTAATCTACCATCCAATTAACTTGGGCGATTAGCGTTCGTATTTTGACAGTAGGTAAAATAACGCACAAATTTATTCATGACGTCATAATATCTCTCTATGGCGTCATTTTTAAGGGGAGTCTTGAAAACTGACTTGACCGTATCTTACAAAATGGGCCTTCTTTCATTGTAAAACGATTTTCGTTTTAAAATATCCGATAAAGAGATTTCCTCATTTTGAACGTTTTGATTTTTAAATATCGTCATATACACTCAAACGCTCAGAAGTGAAATATCGCTCATAGATTAGCGGGCGTGGTGGCCTATTGGTAAAGCGTTTAACTCGGATATTTTGGCATTGCGGTGGTAAAATCTCGGGTTCCATTTTATACCCACCACCCTCACTCAGAGTGTTTTAAACTGAATAAGCAAAACTGAATCAACAAGATTGCTGCCCATCACAAATATAGCAGATAATTACGTATCAGTGTCCGCTCGCCTTTTTACACTTCTGAGCATTTAAGTCCATATGGCGAAATTTAAAACTCAAGTTTGAAAACCAAAACGTTTCAGATAAGGAAATCTACTTATCGGCTGCTCACACAGAGTCTTGTTCGGGTAGGAAGACGTATAAATAAAAGCAGGAAACTATGAGGCAATTCAACTCTCCCGAGTTTTTTGTTCGCCAGAAATATTGAAACTTTTTTGAGAAACCAGTAATTGAATCGCTGATATGGATCAGATCTTTACGCATACCCGCACAACCGCTAAACATTATCAGGTTCTCCAATGGCGGGCGTAATAATTCAAATTTGATTCGACCAATCAGCATCGAGAGAAATAGTGCGTCGCATGACGTGGGTAGCAGTATAAAATTAAATATCGAATGCTCGCCATAAGGAAATATGTACTGAATTAGGCTCGTAATGAAAAAAAGTTCAGTAAAATAACTTTCGTTTATCTGTTATAAACCTATTTTATAATGAACAATTCGTTCTATTTTTAACTTCAATTTTCACTCAACAGGCGAGAAATGCTGGATTCCTATGCTTTGCGACGATCAACCTACTTGGAGAGAACTCACGGTGAGAGCTTTAGTAGTATTTTCAAATTGATGGTATTTTACTTTAATCCATGGGAACACTTTTTTATGGGGAACACTCGCTAAGCTAAGGCCTTACTGCACGGATGTGCAACTTTCATGACCATATATTCAAACATTTCTCTCTTGTTCTATTTCAGAAAGGACATTGCACTAAAGAAGATGAGAAGACTTTGGACGGTTCGTGTCCACAATATAATTTCCTCCAAAATACGTTTGCTATTTTTATATTTGTCACATGGTCTGATAGCAAACAGTCGTTTTGGTACTCCTGAAGTATGCGTACCAAGATGGCGGACACCGGAACGTAGTGTGTGTACTAGGTTAGGGTTAGGCCATAATTTTAGGTACAAATACTACGGGAGGTACTTAGCTAGTCTCCGAACTCGTAATAGAACTGAAAAAAAAGAAAAAATGAAATAAAATTATGGCCTAACCTCAAATTGGTACACATACTACGTTCCGGTGTCCGCCATCTTGGTATGCATACTTCAGAGATTTTTAACAATCAAATCATGACGTAAAATTTAGCAATACCCATCTCATATTTATTATTTTTAACCAGAGAGAAAAGGGTTCATATATTCTAACAAAAATTCACTCAATACGAATTGTAAAACTGATGGTTGAATTTGAATTTTTTTTTCTTTATGTTTCGCAGCTTTAACGGAACGATTAGACGGAATGAAAAGTGGGCTCAATCAATTAAAAAAGGTGATGGAAAAATCAGAGACGAACTCAGTGCCACCCTCTGTTATAGGTGTCACGACCACTTCCCAGGGTATGAAAATCTATGTCTTTTGGTATCACATGCACTAGAATGGATAACAAAAAAGTCCTTTTCAGTCATAATGATCGGTAATAAGGCGCTGATAAAGAAAAAAAATTGAAATATATTCTCATTGCCAGTCAGTGTCAAATTCTTACCTTAAAGCAGCGTTTCCCAAACTGGGGTTCGTGACGACTGCACAGGGGGTCCTCAACGATAAGAAAAGAGTCTGAAACGTATATATTTTAACGTAGATACATTGTCACATAATCATTCGTAAATGAGATGAAGTCATAAGTTCACGCAATCTTAAATCGTTATTGTTACAAAACCTTAACAATGGGAGTGAAAAAGCTTTTGTAAACAATTCTTTCTTTTAGCGTCTGTGAGGTGGACCTTCGTCACAGAGCTACATCGTCGTGATAATTGATTGTATGGGTTACTGAGTCATCATCAGTCGATAACTTGTGCGACTTTGCCAAGGGTATTTGAGCCCGTAACCGTTACTGCAAGAAAGGGGCATGAAACGAAATTAATTCAGATTGTCATAAGTTTTATTTTGTCAAAGGAAACATTATCCTTTCTCGTTGTTTAGGCACAAAAATTGATACGACATAGGATAGGGGTCTGTAAAAAATTAGATTGACAAACGGGAGTTCGCGACTCAAAAAGTTTGGGAAACTCTGCCTTAAAGTACCCAATACTATAAATCTTTCTCTAAACTTGTAATATAAACTCACTTATTCACACAGGTAACAAAGTCAAGAAAACTTCTTTGGCCCGTACTTCAAACGTCCCTGCTACATCCCCATGGTCAACTAAGGAAGTCTTTCTCTCTACTGTGCGCCCACAAACTACAAAAGGCGAACAGAGCACAGGTTGGTGGGGGCCTTATCTCTTTCTCGTTTTCCACTCGAAAAATATTTCTCCCTTAAACGCTTTTTAGTACACGTTAAATATCTTAATTAGAAATTCTCGAGCCCCTGAGGTCCACAACAGGAAAAATTGCGACACTTCCATAAAAAGTGGATCCTTATGTATTAGTAATTGTCTTGTCTAGCGCTGCTTTGTTTGAAGTGAGATTTGAAAACGAATCACAAAAACACTAAATGTATTTACGAGGCTCCCGAAGTATGCGAACCAAGATGGCGGACATCGGAATGTAATATGTGTACTAGGTTAGGGTTAGGCCATAATTTTAGCTATAAATACAACGGGAGGCTCTTGGCTAGTCTTCGAACTGATAATAGGACTAAAATAAGGAAAATTGGAAAAAAATTACCGCCTAACCCTAACCTGTTAGTCTGTTACCCATGTTACGTTCCGATGTCCGCCATCTTGGTTCGCATACTTCGGGAGCACCGTATTTACTATTTGCTTGGTTATAGGATATCAACGTATCGCCTACGATTATTCTTGAAAAATGACTTTCTTTATCCCCGAAAGACGCCTTGATATAGAACAAAACAAAATTGCCTCAAGATGGCGTCCAAAGTCTGAGCGTTGCCTCGCTTTGTGCCCTCAGATACTGGCGTTTCAATGTTTGACTCGAGAAATCGGAGTCTAATATAGTTCAGCACCACTAATACTTCTAGTAGGCGTAGCATAACCATTTTTGCATGTTTTATTCCTGACCCTCATCTGATTACGTCATCCAAAAAAATCTTGAAAAAACGTCCGTAGATTTTGACGGGCCTGTTTTTTGGATGACGTAGTCAGATGGGGTTGGGATGTCAGAAATAACATATGTCAAAATGTAGTCCAGATTATCGAGGCACAGAATTGATCAGCCCCCGAGGCCCAAAACAGAAAAGATTGGCTTGTCTCGACTCCAGAGGGGAGGACCTCTATCACGCTAGCAAGGTCCTGCTGCCCAAAAACACGATGTCATAAAAAGTGCTAAGAATATAAAAGAATTTAATTATACTCAGCGAATGACGAACGTTAAAATAAAAACGTTAAAGTGACCCGTAATTTTAAAAGATCCGTCTTTGGGGCTCAAATTATATTTTGGGTATGGATAGCTGGTTCCAATCAAATAAAGAAATTTGAAAAAACTTGATCAGCTTTCTAACAAAATACATCTAATACAACGCAATAACGTAAATTTCCTAAAAATCGGAAAAATTGTTAAATTGACTCAAAATTTAAACAAGATTTGAACAATAAAAACAAGCACGTAATTAATAACGTTCAGTTTATAATTCTACATTTCCGTGGCTATCAAATAGAAACATTTCGCAAAGTGGAAACACGTTTTATGACATCGTGTATTTTGCAGCAGACATTTTTTTATGATATGACAGTGTCTGTGGGGCAAAGTTCCAGAAAAAGGCCTCATTCAGACAATCGTTTATAAAATCACAATTACTAGTCCCATTCACTATAGTGGTTTCGAATTTAATGGTGGCTGACAATATTGTACCGAAAATAAAATATAAAAAAAACATTAATAATTCATGGTTTAGATCTGTTAAATTAAAGTTTAAAAATAAATCTAATTTCTGTAACCACGCCCTCTGTTATAGGTGTCGAAGAAACTACTAGGCCTTCTGTTGCAGATGTCAAAAAAACGACCGCGCCCTCAGTTGTAAGTGTTAAAGAAACGACCACGCCCTCTGTTGCAGATACCAATAAAACGACCACGCCGAACGTTGCAGGTGTCAAAGAAACCACTACGTCCTCTGTTGTAGGTGTCAAAGAAACCACCACGCCCTCTGTTACAGATACCAATAAAACGACCACGCCCACCGTTGTAGGTGTCAAAGAAACCACCACGTCCTCTGTTGTCGGTGTCAAAGAAACCACCACGTCCTCTGTTGTCGGTATCAAAGAAACCACCACGTCCTCTGTTGTCGGTGTCAAAGAAACGACCACGCCCTCTGTTGCAGATATCAATAAAACGACCACGCCCACCGTTGTAGGTGTCAAAGAAACCACCACGTCCTCTGTTGTCGGTGTCAAAGAAACGAACACGCCCTCTGTTGCAGATATCAATAAAACGACCACGCCCACCGTTGCAGGTGTCAAAGAAACCACCACGTCCTCTGTTGTCGGTGTCAAAGAAACGAACACGCCCTCTGTTGCAGATATCAATAAAACGACCACGCCCACCGTTGCAGGTGTCAAAGAAACCACCACGTCCTCTGTTGTAGGTGTCAAAGAAACTACCACGCTCCAGGGTATGAAAGTCCATGTTTTTTGGTATCGCATGCATTTATATATATAATAAAAAAGTCATTTCCAGTCAAATAGTCGGTTATACAGCAATTGTTCAAATTTTGAAATATATCAACATTGCCATTTAGTAACTCAGTTGCGCCTTGAAGTACCCAAAACTATAATCTTGCTATAAACTTGTAATATAAACTCACTTTTTCACACAGGATACAAAGACAAGAAAATTTTTTCGGCCCGTACTTCAATCGTTCCTGCTACATCCCCATGGTCAACTAAGGATGCCTTTCTTTCTATTGTGCGACCACAAACTACAAAAGTCGAACAAAGCACAGGTTGGTGTGGCCTTATCTTTCTCGTTTTCACTCACTTTATGTCTTTTGATGCTGTCGTTTCACCGTGCGACTCGAAAAATCGGTAGTCTGGTATAGTTCAGTATCACAATTAATTATACAGGGCGTAGCATAAATATTTTTTCAAGTGTTATTCCTGACTCTCATCTAATCCTCATATTTTGACGGTCGTATTTTTTGGATGACATAGTAAGATGAGGTTGAGAGAAACATATGCAAAAAATGATTAGGCCACGCCCATTACACGTGATACTAAACTATACAAGACACAGAAATCGCCGTTACGTTGTTTCTTGTTCATATTTGGTAGGTGAGTTGGTTTTTGACAAATAAAGGATAGGATCACATATTTATCCCGGGGTAGACGGAAGCCGTTAAAATGGCTTCATCATATGGCGAATCATGCCCTATCTTCCGGTTACTAGTACATGTCGGTATGAGATTATTCAGCCAGTTATTTGTTTTCGGAAGCATGGACTTGATGATGGAGGAAGCCAAAATGTACCAGCGTTTTCGTGAACCATCCTGCGGCGGCGAGGAGCCCAGCAATAGTGACGTAATTTTAGAATGGTGTTGTAGGATTAAAGTCAAAAATAACATATGTGAAATTTCAGTCCGGTTTTTCGAGCCATAAAATTGCTTTAATAGCTCAGTGGTTGCCCATATTTTGCTCATAGCTACGTTTACTTTACTTGAAGCCAATTTCGACACTTTTGTGGGCAAACAGAAATGTAAATGTAATTTTATCTTCACAGAAAATGAGGCGACCACAGAAGATATGACCTCAGTAATTGTGACCACTCAAGGACTGTCAACTGAAGGTATAATAATTGTGAATGCGGGGTGAAAAAAATTCTGCATCTACTAGTAGATTGTATGAACATTATAAAATATGCACAAACGGCCCCTGATAGACTATTATTATTATTTCTAAAATGCCCGGGATATTTTTACACATTGAGAGTGAATAAGAAACTCTATACAGGAAACCACTGATACTGTGGATTAATCGCGGCATCCACGGTAGATCGTGTCGGTTGTCTATGAACTCGCGTCGTTGAGACAAAAAGTTTTATCAAGAACTTCTGTTATCTAATATTCAATACGGTATAGCTTTTTTTTGCTCATATTAATCTCAACTCCCATCGGTCTGTATTATCCAGCGCATATTTCACTGCTATTTCCTAGCTAGAATAGCTAATTGGTTGTTAGTAATTTGCTCGGAGAAACGTTTACTTTATTTTTGGTGAGTTTGCGGGATCTTGCTTATAGAAAATGATATGGCGTATGATCAAAACTACTGAATAGCTCACAATCATATTAGTGTAAAAAACTACAAAAGACAATTATTCTGAATAAAAGTTATTAATTAAAACGTAGAAATGAATATTCTCCTTAATATCAGTTTCATAAATATCTGACTTCAAACTATTTTGACTGTTATTTTTCTTTCAGAATGTGGCCTTTTCTATAATTCCAAATGTTTTCGAGCGATCGTTTACAAAGCACGGAACGTCTCATTGAGCGTTGCCGAAACTCTTTGTGGAAACAAAATGGCTAACATTTATGACGTCACACACTACAACCTGGTTCTGGATTATTTACGATCAATGATTCCTGATGGAAGGTCATGGATTTGGATTCGTGCGGGAATGACTTACAAGGTACATTGTGTCTGATTCATGCTTTTGCGGCCATAATAAATTGTTATTTATAATATTATATATAAATGTTATGGGCGATATTGTTACCGCATTACCAAGTCTAATTATTTTTTATTTTGGGGTTAAACCCATATAACTGTAGGATAGAAAAGATGTTCAGGTCGAATCCATCCGAATTAAGAAAAATTCGTTTTCTTGCGTTTTCCAGTTTCTATCAAAAAATTCAAACAAAAACCTACGTTTCCACGTAATGTTTCCGGATAATTCAACAATTTGATTGCAACACCAGTGAAACGCTTCAACTTTACAACTTTGATACTAAATCAGAGAAGACTAATCCATACTTATTTGATTTTATGTGTCTATTCCATTCAATTCTCATCCACCAACGAAAATCATTGAAGTGTGACTGATCAGAATAATCACGTGATGATGTCACGCTTCATTTAGTTTTTTACTGGAAACCAAATAAGTTCGCTTTTCTTTGTCAGAGCATATGGCAAGGATTACTGGTTCAACCATACCCAACTATATTCTCAAACTGCTATTTGTTATATTTCTCAAGCCATATTTTATTTCAACAGAACGGTCAGCTGTATTCAACGACGGGTCAAGCTATGTCTCTGTCAGCTCAGGTTTGGCGTGAGAATTATCCGAATTCCGACGCATCGTACACAACTGTTGTTGTTGATGTCAATCAAGACTCGAAAGACGAGGATCAAGGGATTTATAATACTCCTACTTCTAATGTATATCACGGAGCCATCTGTGAAAATTAATTATAACTCTATCTACGGAATGATTTATAAACAAACAAAAAAACTGTAGAATTACTTGGGTTTAAGAGTTATTGGTATTCACCCTAATAGCATAATTAAAACTTCAAATTACTATTTCCACAGTTGAACTTGATGTTCTTGTATTCCCGAATATTCGTTAGCCACACATGCAACTTAATTTACACCCCAACCTATTATTTTCACGGTCCACAACAAGCATATGGAGTAAATATATATGTGTGTAGTATACCTCTCCCATGGGATACAGTTGGGGTGTAGGGTAACTACTTATCACGTGTATAAGACGATTAATTTACCGATACTTTTATTTGATGAATGCATTGAAACGTCACAATGGTAGAGTTTGCGTATAAGCCTGACTTGTTTCTTGGGTAAAAATTTCAATAAAACTGCATTCATTGTTAGATTTCTACAAAACAAACAATTTTTATTTCTTAGATGTGTTCAAGAAATGTTTGAATGTATTATTTTGGCCCAATTTGTTTATGAGAGAGTGTAAATAATCTTAGAATGATACCTTTCAAATAACGGCTTGGTATCTGTAACCTCTAAATACCTGAAAATTTCAATTTGTAAAAATTATAAAAAAAAGTCTTCGAATATTTGTCATTAATTTAAATCACCAAAAAAACTCGAATTCAAAATCACCATAAATGAAAAAAAACAGAATTGTTTAATAGGGTACTCCCGTATCATGTGTACCAGGCTAAGGTTATGCCATGATTTTATTCCAATTTTCCTTATTTTAGTTCTATCACGGGTTCGGGATCTGTCTGTGTTATCCAAGTGAATATATCCCCTGCGCATAGGTTTCAGTCTCTTTATACAACTTGCTGTAAAGTAGGCCAACAAAATTAGTTAACTCCATATTGGTACACATACTGCTGGACCAGAATTTTCTTTTGTTTTTACTGTTTTAACCGACGAACACCTTTTCAGAAGGTTGACTTTCGAGAAAAGCACTTTAAGTGAAAGCTGTCTGTGTGTAAAGATAATTGTTTTTAGAGCCGTTCTTGTCTAAAATAATTCTAACATAGTTTCCACATTTATTTCCGATAAGTCCAATAGTCGATGTTGTTACCTTTTTATATCAATTGCTATGTCCATATATTTCGATGGATATATTTCTCCCATATTGAATAAGCTCATTAATTAGGAGATTTTTTCTGAAAAATCTTTTACAAACATAAGATTGATTTACCCAAACTTTTGGGTTCGAATTTTCGATTTGTTTTTTAGATTTGAATTTTTTTCGATTTTTTTAAAATTAAAGTTTTATTGTGATCTGAAGGAAATATAAGAAATTCAACTTTATCAGAAAATTATCAAAATTAAAATCATTTACAGCGTCGCCTTCTCTTTACAATCAACAAGTTTCATTACTCATACATTTTATTTGCACATTTTATCCTGGGTGTGAATTATTAGCATTGATGATTTTTTTATCATATTTCCTATTTTATATGTTTCAATTGTTTTGAATCACGCCAATAAATAAGACATTTTCCTGCTTTTTATGGGCAATTAGTTTGAAAGCTGAAAAATGAATTGAAATTTTCGGTGCGACCTGAACAACATATGAGAAAATGATAGGAATTCATCAAAATTAAAATAAATTTCATCATCGTCTTTTATAAAATAAACAGGAGCCCTCGGGCTCTCAAAACATCTAAAAATTTCATTTCTTTTGCTTTCCATTTTTCTTGTATGTGAATTAGTGTGATATACAATATGTATATACAGATATTTTATTTGTTAGATGTGTTTCTGGATATTATCATTTTTTGGCAAAATATGTTGTCAGTGAAAGTTCAAATTATTTTTCACAAACTGAACCTAACAAATGAAATTCATGGAAAATAATTTTAACTTTCAGTGCAGAAATATTAGTTGCTATTTTGTGTGAATAAAATTGTATTACAAAACGTTATCGAAGTATTTTAAAAATGATAGAGACTAAATTTATATATCAGAAAACTAATATTAATCGGAGAATCGGAGTTTATAATAGTTCTATCCAAATAAGACAACGTTTTTCCAGGAGTAATTGCTGAGCACTGGGGCTCCAGAAAAAGAAATCTGATTTAAACTCGAACACATAAAAAACCAAATTTTGACTCGAAACCCAAGGAAATGAGATTCTCAAACTTCCAGAAATCAGATCATTTCCGCGGAACTCCGTTGAAATTTGAAGAATTTACGTATCCTTCGAAGATTCGTGCATCACTCACAAATGATGTACTGAAGAAGTATGCAATGAGAATTGACTACAAAACTTTAAAATTTTGTACTGTAGAAATATGCCAAGAGAATTGGTTGTTTAACGAAACTTTTTAGTAAGTGGAAACCTTCATGACACTATGTTAGTCTGGTGATTTGTTTCAGACATACATTTCTGTTGGACTTTTGGAAAACTATAAATAGGACTTCCACCATTTTCGGGTTGGAGTAACATAGAAACGTGTGAAAATTTTTGCAGTAAATGATAAATATGAAACAGTGCATTATGATACATACAACGTCATTTACAATGCAGACTGTAGTTTTATTCAAAGATGTTGAGATTGCCTTGTATGAATCATTGACACACATTAGACTACTTAAATCACAGTACCAAATCAAACAGGATATTCAGCAGCATGGGTGAAACCGACTTTCTAAGAAGAATCTGATCTCACTATAAAAACTTAGAATTTATTTATTGAGGGAATATGCTAATAGAATTGGTTGAAAGACGAAACCCTTTAGGAAGTGTGTAATTTCGATATTGTTCGGTCAGAATTTTGAATACGGTAGGTATAAAAAAGACTTCTAAATCAACTTCTACTGTGGTTTCACACGACTTAGAATTTTTTTGCTGTGATTGGTTTGCAGTGAAACAAACAATGTAGAACAACAATTCAGGTTGGCTAGGCCTGCTTCACTCACCAAATTGAAGCCCAAACTAGCCAAATTATTTCAAATACCATTATTAATCAAATACCTAGAATTATAAATAAAATTAGTTAAGGCAGTGGGTGGGGAAATCGGTTAAAGGAACATATAGGTTACTAAAGGTTCAAGTGAGGTTTTTAAAGTCGTGGGGTACACGCATAGAGGTTGCTGTCACTGGGGTCAGCTCAAATTCATCACGGAGAATCCATTAGTCCAGGGATGGCGAATCACTGACCCGCGGGTCCCAAAGTGACCCACTGCGTTTTTCCGGTGACCCGCCAAGGCTCGAACGAAATAAAAACATAATACCATATAAGTGATAAAATCGGCTCTGATTAAATTTAACAAGAGAGCTATGCTCAAATATATGGACACGTAGAGTCACATAATTTTGATGACGTCATAGCGAAAAAAAAAGTAATAGCCTTCTGGAGAAAATTTTTATCTTTAACCACTGAAAATTTCAAAGCAATTGGTCCAGTATTCGAAGAGAAAAGCGACTTTTTAAAAACGTGTCAAAGAACAAGAACAACAACAACATAATATTGAAACGATCGTTATGTCCACTACGTGTCCAACAAAGAGATGAGAGCTGAATTCACGGCGGTACCGGTACCTAACGTAGGTGCGGTACTGAGTTAGCAGTCAGCCAGCATCTTACCTGTACACTGTAGGCCATATACGGTAATTGATCACAGAACAGTTATTCCCTTGCAAATTTTATGTTGTTTACACTTTAGGACGGATAATTGATCACAGAACAATTCTTCCCTTTCAAATTTTATGTTGTTTCCAGTAGACTCTCATCAAAATAAACAAATATAGTAGGCTACAAGTGCTACAACGCTTGCATTACTGCACTGGTAGGACCGTGAAAGAATAAGTTACGGTAATTTCATTGTGGTAAGACACCGGTACCAGCACCAGTACCAGTATCGTACTTACGTACTGAGCTACCAGTACCGATTAGCAGTCAGCCAGCATCTTACCTGTACAATGTAGGCCATATACGGTAATTGATCACAGAACAGTTGTTCCCTTGCAAATTTTATGTTGTTTACACTTTAGGACAGATAATTGATCACAGAACAATTCTTCCCTTTCAAATTTTGTGTTGTTTCCAGTAGACTCTCATCAAAATAAACAAATATAGTAGGCTACAAGTGCTACAACGCTTGCATTACTGCACTGGTAGGACCGTGAAAGAATAAGTTACGGTAATTTCATTGTGGTAAGACACCGGTACCGGCACCAGTACCAGTATCGTACTTACGTACTGAGCTACCAGTACCGAACCTGTAGGTCTGATATTCCGTTCCGCATACGATAGGCTATAAAACTTGCATTGCAGCATTAGTAATACCGCGGAAGGAATAAGTCAATTTCACTGCGTTACGGTACCGGTATGGCAACTTACCAGTACCGACCTACAGTAGCTGTAGTACTGAGCAAGACAATCGATCGCGAAACCGCTTGAAATAAGTGTAAAACAGTGTTCCCATAAGTAAAAATAAATACCGCGAAATTTTGTATGAAATATCATATCTCATAGGATTCATATAAAATTTAGGAATAAATAAAAGTAATAGCCTTCTGGGGAAAAATATAATCTTTACTCACTGAAAATTTCAAAGCAATTGGTCCAGTAATCAACGAGAAAAGCGATTTTTTCATAACGATACCAAGAAGAAGACAAATAAGAACAAGAACAACAAAAATACCAAAACGATCGTTATGTCCACTAACGTGTCCAATAATGAGTAAACTGGTATAATGTACCGTCTGTTTGGAAGCAGGGCCTCCAAACGCTCAAATTCAAGTTTTAATTTTTGGGTCGGTAGGGTAATTTTCAAAACTCCCAATTTTGGACGCGCATGTTCACCCCTGTATACCGTTATGCACCTATTGGCTGTGACATCGTTTATGACAAAACAATACAATTGATCTGTTTATTTTTTCGCAACGTCTTTTTACAGCGTGCCTAAATGTGGTTGAAAGCCGATCGGAAAATATAACTCTATCAGAGTTGAATTCCCTCCAAACTCTTTAGCGGCGTGGAATAATCTGCCGCATCATTCTAAACGCTTCTGGGTAATTCATATGCGTGTTTTTGTACACGAAACTTGCAACTATGCAGCAGCAAGTTTCTCATAGATTCAAACATTGATTGAATATCTGTGACCCACACTCTTCGGTTCCGTGATAAAAATATAATTTTAAACCCATTCATTGAAAAAGGTTCGCCATCCCTGCATTAGTCTGAAAGTTTTGTTGATGTATACACCTAATATGTTAAATTGGCTAGCTTTTGAATTGATCATCACGACATCCTGCAAAATATAAAATATATCTGCGAGTACATTATTCAATGATTGCATATAGGAGACAATAGTAAACTACACTACAATTGAAGAAGAAGTTGTTGATTTGTCTAAATATTGCATAAATATTTCACCATGCAAACATTCAATGAAGGTCAAAGACACCAACCATTCACATGTTGGCAATTGTCTTATCTACACAGCAAAAACCTTGACCAAGGATAAAATCTCTATATACACGCCAGACACAGCATATGTAGCAGCAAATTAAAAGGTAGGCGAGAATTCAAATATAGCTCGACTGGTAACCTAATTACAAATATTGGTACAGAAGTTAAATAATACCGTCTACACCAGGGTCGGCCAACCTTTTTGGCCGACGGGCCACATTTAGTTTACTATTAATTGCGCGGGCCACATTGTAATTATGTTCTAGTTTTGCTACACTGACTAAAAGTTAATGAAAAAACAAACAAAACCCTTGTACCAAACTTTTTCAATAATAAGAACAATAAAAAAATGATGATACAGTAAAGTCAACAAAGTTTTTTTCCACACGTAGGCCTAGATATTTTAGTGTGAAGATTGGCACTGTTTTTCGCTAACAAGTAAGTCAATATTTGCTGAGATGGACGATGTAGCAAGGCGAAGCGAATTTTCCATATGACTGTCAAAAATGAGTGATCTCACAGGGTATTTGACATGGTTCTGTGAAAAAAACTTGCTTGTACAAGTAAGTGCTGTCAAATAATGAGGTCATTAAAACTGCCATTCTGCCCAAAGGTGTAAGCGACTATTCATGTAATGATATCTTCCAGTTGGTTCCTATTCAAAATGGCACTCATGGTTCGTTTGAAAGGGCTAGCAGAGCGCATTTCAGGAAAATGAACAAATTGTTTGTATCAAATCTTCATATTCACTACTCGCAAAACAGAAGTTTACTCTTTTTTTCATTTAATTCCGAAAATACAGCGCGGGCCACTCGGAACTCCTCGGCGGGCCACATGTGGCCCGCGGGCCACGGGTTGGACGACCCTGGTCTACGCCCTCAGGTAATTACACCACTCAAACAGAAAACAAAAACCACGCATGTGAAATATCAAAAATCCAACATTGGAAGAAAACAAAAAGAAACCTGCGCATGCAGATGTCAGACTGTGATTGACCATTTAAGGAAAATCTTAAGGACAATATCAATATTATAGGTGTTCAACATTCTCATGAAAATAAGTATGTGCAAGTGGGGAGCAAAGTTCCCTCTAAGCTGCGCAATAAACCAGTACCACCAGAACATTTGCGCAGTAAAATCTCATTCTCGCGCAGCTTCCCTTTTGGAGCGCGGCTCATATTATCATATGTAATTTTATTCACGCTTATCTAAAATGCTCATATGTTTCACGCGTATTTTGGGTGACCTCTGATCATTGTGATGTCACACATGTGTCTGTCACGCTCAATTACCTTGATTTCTGTATGCCAGCACCGGGCAGTGTCGCATTTCGAAATTTTCATCACGCGCTCTGGATTTCGTGTTGTCGACCCCGCCAAATCTTGTTATTGTCTGTAGGGAAGTTAACACAGATGAAGATGGAATTTTAATAGGTATCAAATGTGCCCACTTCTTGTTACAGGAAATTTGCTTGAATC